TGTGTGTGTGTGTGGTTCGCAAATCTTATTGAAATGAACTGTATACAATTTTTGTTATATAAATATGTGGATATATATTATAAATATAGTTTATACATATTTTTGTTTTATAAACGTGTTTAATATTTAATTTTTTTAAGTTATAAGAGTATATATATATATATATATAAAATAATAATAATATATATATATTATTATTATTTTAAATGAAAACATAAAATAGTTAAAGAAAAAGTAATTACAATAAATGTAATGCATGAAATGTAATGCATCAAATTTTTCCCGTCCCACTTGCAGACTGCGGACTGTCAGATACTCTTTTGTCCTATACCTGGTGTAGTTAAAAAAATTTGATGCACTAACCACCTGCATCAGCGCACATAAGCATTCACACACTCTAAACATTGGTGTACAATAAATTATAAGCGTTTGCAACATTTGCAATAGTAACATATAACGTAATATATAAAAATAAAAACATGCAGCGAGATATGAAAAAATAAAATATACTAACATACCACACTCACATGCATTCAGAAGCAATATTCTCCACCGAGTACAATTCTCGCCTCTCGTCCTCGAAGGCATGCCTTCTATTAAGAAAGCATGACTTCTTCGAGTTGGAGGTTGGAGTTACACACACACTCACTCATACAACCCTATACATTCTTCACAGATGCTACCTGTCCCGCTTCGCAAAGACGTCACATCTTTCCTCCGGACTCATCCCCTCCTCCACCGACCTGAAGGCATGCCTTCCCAATCTCTTAAAAAGAGAGAGAAAATATGACTTCTTCAGGCAGATGAGTCGGAGTTGAAGAATTCTACCTAATTAATATGCTAAGCTACATCGCATCTCACATGTATAATATCGCTATATAATATCGCACCCCACACATTTCACATTACTCAGCCGAATAACAATCAATGTTACAAATGTATTCTTACTTTAAACAATTTTGTCTAACCACGTCTTTATACATTTTAAGTTTTTCTTTCCTATTATATTTATGACATTTCAATGACGCACGCATACGCTTTATTTGTACAATATTTTCTCTCGCTTCGCATTGCACTAAATCAACGTTATAATCGTTAATAATGTTATTTTTACGTTCACACCACCACTGTATTGTTCGAACAGCAATTGCACGCACCATTATTTGAAATATGTTAGCATGATGCTCGGTGCATTCATGCCAAGTAATATTAACATTAAATTCTTCAAAATGTTGTAAAATTACATGTAAAAGATTTCATCTGTGATTTCTATTTTTTAATAATTTATTAATTCTACTTACTACTTGTTGCGCGCAAACAAGAAATTCACTATTTTTTAAAGATTCATTGCATTCGGAACAATAATGAACTTGTTTTAAAATAAAATCTATAATTTTCGTTGAATCTTCTGATAATGAGGTAACTAATACATCTTCGTTAATGATATAATCCGAAACTAATTCAAGCGGTTCATCAATACAAGTGTCCTTGCGAATGACACGATCCATTTCAACATTTGAGACGTCGTCTTTCAAACACTGTTCTAGTGAAAACAACATGAAGCTGTCATCAGCGGCTTCGCAATTACCGCCAACAATGGAGATGGACTTCATGTTGCTCACTAGTAAAGTGATGAACGAATCTTCAAACTGTCGAGGAGTAGGATTAGTATTACGAACCGCATGACTTCTAATTAAGCCGAAAAAATTTTCTAAAGGATCCTGATTACAATATCGCGTGTTTAATTTAGAAAAACCATAAGTAGAATGTACATGTGTCCACAGTTTTTGAAATCCGTCAATAGTGAATTTCCAGTTACTTAGAGACGGTACTCGCTGTACACTTTTATGTTGTACTTTATCTACATAAAACATATTTCGTAATACATTTTTAACACTCACTCAGAAAGAATGATACGCACTGTCCTCAGTCACTGGCCGTCGCAATTTGTTCTCGTCTGTTATTTCTTTATCACTACCGTTCACACTATCAAACAAGTTATTAAATAAATGAACCACTTTCGCTGTAGCCAGTCCTTCATCCGCATTAATTTGGATTTGTTCGTCATTTATTGTCACAACACCTGTAACAAATATATTAACATTATTAATTTCATGTTTCTTATATGTAA